AGTGACTGTACTTCTCCTCATGGCAACTCCATCCCTGCCTCTTAAATTATGACCTGTATGCTACTTAATAGATCCCCAAAGCTCTGAATTACATATAAGCAGTTACAAGACTACTTCTAATATGTATAGCACTTTACGTTTTCCCAAGTACCTTTTCACACATCACTTAATCTCTCATCAGCACCCCAGGGATGGAGCTATGAGAAGTTTTGCCATTCTCATTTTATGGGTAAGGAAAATAAGACGGCTCAAGGACGACGAATAACTTGCCGAAGTCACATAGCCAGACCCACAAACACACAGATGATCTTTAATCTAGTGCTCTTGTCGTAACACCAGTGTGCCCGCCTGACTGACACAGGATATGTTTAATTACGACTGTACCTAATTAAAGATACTTAAAGTAGACAAGATGCTCTACTAGTCTTTTGACCAAATTAACAGTTTATTTAAAAATCACGATTTGAATTTTATCTGCTCTTCCGTCCCTTTCATTTTTAATTAGTAAGGCTTTGTGATTCTGAGGGGTTGCTTTAAAATATCTCTAACAGTCCAAAACTGATAAATGCCCTTAACTCGCAAACCATCACAGGCACCACAATGGAGGCTGGAAGAAGCACGAGGGTTCTTTTCTTCATAAGTTCAAAAGGTCAGCGATCACTGAGAGCCTCAACCACAATAAAGCCTTGAAACAGGAACAGGCACTAGAGATACCACCTCTTGATTGCCATCTTCAAAATTACCTCCCCTGCAGTGTAAACACAAGCAAATAGGAGCAAAACTCATCTCCTGAGTGATGAGATGGTAGACAGATGGAACTAGTGCATCTACATGCTTGAAACTGGCTGTTCCTGCCGACATTTAAATATCCCCGTGACAGGCTCCAACCAGCCCGGCTGGTCATCAAGCCTGCAAACTGCCACAGCGGAGGACTCACAATGAGCGGCACAGCTCAGATCCAATGTACTAAATATGCACAGGAAGTTTTTAATTCACAACATAGTCGCCAGGTACATCAGAAGTGTTTTACTAAACATTAAAGCTATTAAACTCCTCATTCACTGCCATTCAGGTCAGGTCAGTACAAAAGGGTTTGAAATTATTACAAAGCTGCAAATATATGGATCTGTGCCTATATTTTAAGACAAAAGTAGTGATCACTGGGTTCCATGTATGACTACCTTAAAAGTTCTTAAAATGTGATAGGACATTTGAAAGGATTAATAGACAAATCACAGATTTGTCAAAGAAAATCTTGTGAGGAGATAACCAGGTAAGAGACTTCACTAACATACTGTTCAACTGTAGGACACATGTTGTGTTCATGAACGAGGTTAAGCAGGCTTTCAGACTCGAATATAGTCTACTGCTCCAAGAGACACCAAGCTGATGGGATAAACAAATATTTCCGTCATGAGTCAAACGGCTCTAAAATGACATAGTACCAAGGTAATATTTTCCAGTACTAAAGTGCCACCTCAAAGGATCAAAAATAATATCAATAATGAAAGTAACAGAGTTGTGGAGAACTGCACTATGAATATGTGGTAAGCATATGATATTAAGGTTATAAGAGGTCTGTGTCCGAAAACAAGGACATATATCAACAGCACTGAAACCCCATTTGAGGATCACTATCATTTTACCTTTTTTATTTATTTATTTTTAAATATATTTTTATTGATTTCAGAGAGAGGAAGGGAGAGAGAGAGAAACATCAATGATGAGAAAGTCATTGATGGGCTGCCTCCTGCACGCCCCATGCTGGGGATCGAGCCCGCAACCCGGGCATGTGCCCTGACCGGGAATCGAACCTCTATCTCCTGGATCATAGGTCGATGCTCAACTGCTTTGCCATGCCGGCGGGGCTCACTATTATTTTAATAAATGTGAAATTAGGACGCCAAATTACTTCCTTGTGAAATCACTAGCTGATAATCATATCCGAATAAAGAGGAAACTGCAGGAGTTCTTTACTTGGAATCTATTATGGTCTGGGCTTCAAGGGCTCTGTGAGCTCTTTGGAATTCCATGTAAAAACTTGAGTGGATAAGTACATGTGCATTTTTCTGGAAGAGGTATCCACAGCTTAAATAAGACTTTTGTAGGGTCCTTAGATCCTCCAAAGTTAAGATCCACTGTTCTAAAAGTAGGCCGGTATATAAATACATAACTAGATCTTGGATAATCTAAGTAATATCCCATAAGTCTGAAATTAAGAAAATTATTTCACTTTTCTACGTTACTCATAAAAGTAATTTAGAAAAATGGAAACTAGATGCATCCTAATTAAAGAAAACATTAGTCATTAGTCATTAGAATGGACAATGATGGAAAATAAGTATTTCTGGACTCCTATTGCTGTAAAAATAGAATTTAAAAGTAAGAAAATTTAGGTTATTTCTTGGATTAAACAGAGAATAGAAACGGTTACATCAGTATGTCCGGACTTAATTATCTGAACAGATTCATATCCTATTCCCCTCTGTTTTTTTTGTTTTGTTTTTTGTTTTAAATAAAACATAGAAGCATCAGGATTGTAGCATTTTGGAAATGAGTGGATACATTTTCGGTTCTTGCAAAATCAGAGGCTACTCTGGGGGTTAGGGATGCCGGATGTTCAGGACTGAACTGCATGGGTCAGAACAACAAAAATTGTCCCCTGCTCTGCGCGCCTCGAATTTCTCGCTGGGCACTCAAATAAATGAAAAAATCTACAACTGAGTGAGCCTAGAAACTAACTCCACTGCACATATTTTTGCAAAGTCCTTTTTACACATTTTTAATTTCCAAGGTGCTAAATACTGGGATCAACTATGTAAATCAAAGTAAGACTACTTTTTCATTTGGAAGCTTCTTAAGAGGTGTTCACCATTTTGGGAAATCCCGTCACCACTATGCTATGGGCTGAATGTGTTCCTTCCCCAAATCAATATCCCCGGTGTGATGGCAGCAGGTGGGGCTTTGGGAGGCGAGTAGGTCCTGAAGATGGAGCCCTCGTGAACAGGATGAGTGCCTTTATAAAAGAGGCCCCATGGAGGTCCGCCACCCTTTCCACCATGTGAGGACAAGAAAGCAGGTCCTCACCAGGCACCCTGATCTTGGACTTTCACCCTTCAGAACTGTGAGAAACTTCTGTTGTTTATAAGCTACCTGGTTTATGCTATTGTTATAGCAACATGAACTAAGACAACGGCAACGCCATTCTTGGAGTTGAGCTGGCAACACAAACCACTTATATCAGCCTGCAGTTGGGTCCACCCTGCTGCTGGATTCAGGGCTGTTCACATATGGTGCAAATCCATGTATACTACATTATGCCTTAGTACGTAGGCGTGCCAAGGCATTACCATTTGAAAACCATAAAAAAATATTTCTTTTCACGAGGACATTATATCAATTATAAAAATTCTCTGTTATAAGGAAAGGCTGCTAGGGAAAAACTAGTAAAATCCAAATACAGTGTGGGGTTTAGTTCAGAGTTTTGTACCGACGCCAACTTCCTGGTGGTGGCACACATACTATAGTAAGGTAAGATGCTAACATAAGGGAATCAAGGTGAGGGGCACTTGGACAATTTCTCTACTATCTTTGCAACTTTTCTGCAGATCTACAACTATTCTAATAAAAAGATTATATATTAAAATTTACCTTTAGAGATATATAGAGATTTCAAATTTGGAAAACTGTCCCTCCATTTCTGTTAACATCAGTTTTTAAATTTTATTTCTTGAGTTTTGTTTTTAAAAAAAATATCTTTATTGATTTCAGAGAGAGGAAAGGAGGGGGAGAGAGGGAGATAAAAACATCAATGATGAGAGAGTCACTGATCGGCTGCCTAGCCCGCAACCCGGGCATGTGACCTGACCGGGAATTGAACCCCGATCTCCTGGATCCTAGGTCAACACTCAACTGCTGAGCCACACCTGGCCGGGCTCTTGAGTTTATTTAAGCCAAACTGACAACATAAGCTGGGGGGCAGGATCTCAAATGCTCCAACATCAGTGTTTTGGTTTTTTTTATTTTGATTTATTAGTTTCTTTGCCTTTATTGTTGAGAATATTACAGATGTCCGCTTTTTATCCCCACTGATCCTCTCCACCCCACATCCATCCCATCCCCAGGCTTTCTCCACACCAATGCCTGTGTCCATGGCCAACATCAGTTTTTAAAACTCTTAGATTGAACTGCTGAACTGTCTGTTTTCATATGTCAATGAGTTAAATATTAGCAAGTTCATATGGTTTATCCTAGAACAGTTGGGGTCTAGTTGATGGGACTGCATTGTAATGTTGAGAATAAGTGTAGTTTTCATATTCTGAAATAAAGAAAAATCAGCTACAATCCATTATACACACACACACACACACACTCCCTCTCTGGCAAATTCTCCCCATGGTTATACTACATGATTTATGATTTTAATTTGAGGCTAGTAAACAAAGGACTTATAAAATATTTATTATTAAAAAAGGAGTCAAGAACCTGAGATAGCTGAAAACCATTTAACTACACAAAGCATTAACAAGCAGAAGAGACAGAGTACACCAGTTGTTTATCTGTGAAGCTTATACCAAATTCCTATGGAAAAGAAAAAAATTAAAATCAGAGTATTTGTGCCCTGGCCGATGTTGCTCAGTGGTTAGAGCATCAGACTGCACATTGGAGGGTTGTGGGTTTGCTCCCTGGCCCTGCTTCTCCCTGGTGCATGCAGGAAGGCAACCAATAGACGTGTCCTCTCTCACTGATGTTTCTCTCTCTCTCTCCCCCTCCTTCTCTTTCATTTTCAATAAGGCGCTTTCATCAGTGAATTCATCTCCAAGTACAAATATGCTCTGAAACAGAATGCAATCAGAAAAATTTTGTGTTTTTGCAGAAGGCCTGTGAAGTTCTTGAACATGTTCAGCTTCTGAAAAAATATGGTAAAGAGAGAAACCTAAGTGCAGTGAGAAAAAAAATGTGGAAAAGCATTTGGCAGGTTTACCATCAAAATCACTCACCTGTGCACAAATCTGATGCATGACATGACCAAACTCGTGGAAGTAGGTCCTCACCTCATCGTGCCTCAGGAGGGAAGGACGACCTGCGAGGGGCTGTGAGAAGTTCACCACAAGGGCTGCCACCGACATCATGCGGCTCCCGTCGGGGAGGAGGCAGCCAGGCTGGAGGCCAAAGCAGGCTGCGTGGTTGTACTTCCCTTCCCTAGGGACCAGAGCGCAGCCTGTGAGACTCGAGCACGCTGCTCTAGCAACACTGCCCTGGCCTCTCTGAGCCGCTAAGTCATATTTCATACATATTTGATAGAAGACGCTTCAAAACATTTAATTCACTTTTTAGAAAGCAGGTCGACATTGTGTTAAAATGGAAAAACTAAAACTAAACATACAAAACCCAACTATCACGTCACATGAGTTATATCTCCAAGGTTTCCTTTGTTGAAAATTTTTTTCAGAATTAAGAATATGTACCACACTGAGTATACAGCTGCATGTCCAACTTATTTTATTTATTTATTTTATAGAATTTATTGGGGTGACATTGGTTAATAAAATTATACAGGTTTCAGGTATACAATTCTATAATACACCATCTGTATATTGTATGGTGTGTTCACCACCCCACTGCATGTCCAACTTTTTTCTTTTCTTTTTCTGGTCATTCCTTTTTATTTATTTATTTATTTTTATTTTTTATTTTTGTTTAAAATATTAAATGTCCAACTTTTTAAATGAGCTCCTGCTTTTCTTCCTCAAAGAAGTCACAATTTATTAACCAATGTCACTCCAATAAATTCAATAAAAAAATTTTTAAGAAAGGAGTCATTAAACACTAAATAGTGTTGAAATCTGAGATAAAAGATACAGTTTGATTCACGAGGTGGTTTTCCCTTAAAAACAGAATTGATACAAACCAAATTCCATACAATAAGGTGGTTCTTTTTATTCAAGGAGGGAAGAATTAGGGTTCATAACTAAATGAGCTCCTGTGACAGACTACACAAGCCTTTTTGAAAGAGATGCTCCCAGTTAGCCTGGGAAAAGCATAAATGATACCATAAAGCTGTCTGTTCTTAGACACTGTGGAATCGGCGAGGGTCTCTCCAAAAGCTAAGGGCCATTAGACTCTAGGACTAGGTTGCCACCTTCTTTTTTGCTAGAAGAATAACAGTACTTTCAGGTTGGGGTGAATTTTTTAGTTTGATTTGTATGTATTTTTCTGTATTATCTTTTCTTGGTGACTCTTAGGCTTCTTCCTGCTGATGCTATTAAAGTTAAAAAAAAAAGTAGTCTTTTTCCAGCAACTATTATGATGCATAAAGTTGGAACAGGCATCATTGCTCCTCTCTTTACAACAATAACATGCTGGAAAATCTGCAAATCACAACTTTCCTTGAATCTGTCAGAAAGCAGAGGTTGAATGGCAATCAACTAACCTACGGTCTAAGACAGTTGCCTCCAGAGAGAGAGAGGAAGGAAGGAAGCACACTTTTTTTTTTTTTTTTTAAAAGCCTGGAGCACATACTGCAAACACCAGTAAGAAAAAAATTTAACAAATTGCTGAACGCTGATGGTGGACCAGCAATAATCAAGAACCAACAGGAACTGTAGAAAAGGGAAACTATGCCTCCAACTGCAGGTCTTCTTCCCAGACCTCGCTGGATGCACACAAAGGGACTGGGGCAGGATGGGGGCCCTGAGCAAGCATCAGTTGGGATCAAGCTCTGGGGGCGGGGCAGCTGCTGTCATGAAGGCCCAAGGCACTGCCTAGACCCTCTTTACTCTTCCCTACAGAACAAAAGCCTTCAACTTCTGGGAGAAGGACAACAAGCCATGCTTCCTGAAGAGCACTAGTGAAAACCCACTGCCCCTGGGGAAGGAAACAAAAAACCCTCTACACCCGCAGAAGAGCTAGAGTACACTGTGGGCCCCGACTTAAGGTCGAGGGTGGGGCAGGAACACTGAAAGGCCACACTCCTAAGACCCAGGGACACAGAGCTTACCTAAGAGTGATGCTTAATCAGAATAGCAGAGACTTTCCTCTTCCTAACCAGGCTAATAAGCATCCAGGAACAAATAATAGCAGTCTAGTGCTGAGAGAGGAGCTAGAGCATGGTACGAGATCTGCTCTGAAGCATGGCACAGAGAAAAGACCTAAACTTGAGGGTGGAACAGACACTGAGGAAAACTCGGGCAAACCAGTTCCAATCCTAAATGTAAGATACAGTAATCTGCAGTTTTTGGTGCACTGAGGTCAACCATGGCAACAACAAATCTCAAATCCAACTCAACTACTAACTAGATTGAATCAAACACACATTAAAGGCCTACCCGAAGTAATTATGTGCCCATTTCTAGGTATTAAAACTATTTACCTAAGTCTTTACTGTCAATATAAGAAGTCTGGCTTTCAAAAAAATTGTAAGGCATACAAAGATGCAAGGGAAAAAAACCACACACTGTCAAGAAGCAAAGAAAACAGATTCAGGTATGGCAATAATGTTGGAGCTCTATCAAATGAAGTATTTAAAATCATTAAAATCATTAAATGTTAACAGTTCTGGAAGATGCTACCTTTCACCACTCATTTTCAATATCATACTGGAAGTCCTAGCTAATAAGACAAGAAAAGGTATTAAAAAGGTATACAGATTGGGAAGGAGGAAATAAAACTTTCTTTGTCTGCAGATGACAGGACTGTGTAGAAAATCTAAAAGAATCAACAGAAGAACTCCTGGAACTAATCAGTGATTACAGCGAGGTTACAGGATATAAGGTTAATATACAAAAGTAAGTAAGTAATGGACAGTAAAACATTCTGGCCAGACATTCTGGCTTCAGAACCCCCATCTTTAATCGCTTTACTAAGAACCAAACAAGAGATCTATGGAAGACAAGAGTGTTAGTCTGGGTAGGAGCTGAATCCTTAAGATCCCTTCCAGTAACATGGTCACCCGTACCTTGGGTAGAGGTCCAAGTAGAACTGTCCCAGCACTTCTCCTGTGGCTTTTTCCTTCACAGTGTAAAGTGTAACACTTTTATTCCACACGTGAGCATCTGCCACTTGCTCAAATGAGAGTCCCAATAACTCCTGGTAGATGCCGAGCAAGCCTTCAGTAACCACTTCAATGGGGAAGAACTCCTTGAGGACCTCCTGGTCTATGGAGTACCTGAGCTCTTCTGTCTGCGCCATGTAGTAATACAGATCCCAGGCATTGATTTTCCCATCGTATTCAAAACCTCTCTCTTCACATTCCTTTTTCTTCAAATTCAAAATAAACTCTCGCTCTGCCTCACCCAAGGGTTTTAATTTCTGGCTTAAATCATCTGTGAGGAAAGAGGGAAAAGTCAACGATGTATTGCTCTTAGGAGCAAGTATGTTCATACATACCCATGTTTCAGCATGGTGCTTCCTAGAGTGCTTGAAACAGATAAACTGAGGAGAAAGGGAGGTGGGAAGGAGAGAGAGGGAGGGAGGGAGGAAGGGAAGGAAGGAAGGAGAGAAGGAGAGAGGGAGAGAGGGAGAGAGGGAGGGGGAGGGAGGGAGATGGAGGAAAAGAGGGAGGTAGGGAGACAGGGAGAGGG